TTGCTACAGACTACAGTAAATCCTCGATGAGTGTTCGAAGGCTTCTCGGTCTATGTTGAACATTACATATTTCATAAACTAATGGCCATATGTGGTTGAAACAAATATCAGGCCTCAAAATTCCAGGCTCTATTACTGTGCTGAACCTCATAAAAAAATCAGCGTTACATTGGGGATCTCTCCCTGTCAGTATCCAGGACCCTTCGAACACTCATCGACGATTTACTGTAGTAATTTGTGATGAGACTTGGACTTCATTATGAGCCGGAATTCAAGTAACGAAGAACTGAAGACCAATGTGCAAAACTGGTTCAAACAACAAGATAAAGAATATTTTGTCGTTGGCATAAAAAACCTAGTATGTAGAACGATGGGACACATGCATAATGGTAGCAGGGGACTATGTCGAAAAATATGTAAATTCTCAGATTCGTTGAATAAACCGTATTAAAACAACAGCTATTTGTCTCTTGACTTATCTAATGACCTAGCCCCGTTCATTTGTGTCATTACTTTCTTCAACAAAAATAGATGAAACGATGTCGTGCTTCGTTTATACTTTTATTATACAAGATTATCTTTACGTATTCTTGATCATTCCTGAATATCATCGCAATTGAAATTTTCAGATTGATTACAATTTATTGACAATTGACCCTTTGCGATTCTTAGCTAGGTTTGGGAAGAATGTTAACGCAGGATTAAATTGTTTGATTAGGTATGTAATATTTTCAGGACATTTCTATTATATCCGATAAAATTGAAAACGTTATGTTAAATTGTAACACAGATATTGTAATTAAAAATATTGGTTAGTGAAAATAGTTTCGAACAACTGGAGGTACACGAGCAAACCAGTTCGAACCGTAAAGGGTTAAAGGCTTTAACGCTTTCACTTAAAGCGTTGCATAATTTATTTAAAGCTCGTTTCAGAGTCATGGATGGTGTGTCTCTTCCTGTGATTTGACTAACATATATGTAGAAATAATCTTTTAAACTAATTTTGTGGAAAACATTTGTGACTCGTTTCTTGTTTCGATATCACTGTTTAACACGAATTTTGATCTGCAGTATCCATTGAGTGATCCTTGTATATCGGAACGGTTTATAAAATTTTATAATTCTATACAATCATATATGTATATGTATTTAAGAAACTCTCCTATACTTTTAAGACAGAAGTGAATTTTCTAGCGTTTTTAGATTTCACGTAATACATTACTTTACCTAAAATCGTGCGTTTTTACAAAACTTCGTGTTTATCAAGAACTGAGGGTGATAGAGCAATTTTGTTTCCGGATTCGTATTTCGGTCGAAAACTTTACAAATACCCTCCGATAGAAATTGCTGATCAAAATTCGTGTTGAACAGTGTAATAAGAAAGGTAGGGTAGACCAGGGACGAATGTAATAACTGTTATAAAACAAATATCAATCGAACAACAGTCCCCTCCTCTCATCTTTATACACAAATTCTATCTGTCCTCTACCTCAGTTGACGCCAACATCCAGCAGTAAGCCGTTTTTCTAATACGGCTACCCTATTGAAATAATATATCAAAAGTAAATTTATATTATCTCTTTCAAATGTGTATCTTTTTGTTTCAGTTCCATAAAATCCTTTGGAAGTTTGAAAGTCTTTTTGTTATATTGAATGCTTAATGTATTTGCAGGTAGATAACATTTTTCATGATAATAAATTAGGTTTGCATATAGTACAGTAGACATTCGATTCCCGCACGAGTCGGGGCTGTAGAGGGTTAAATTTCCAGGAACCGTGCAGGAATCGGTGACCAATTACCCTAGCGCTTTCCCCACCACTCCACCGTTCAGTTGTGCGACGCAGCTGCATATAGGGTGAGCTGGGTATACGCACTTTACGGTTATGTTAATTATCTCCGTTATTTTTACACAGAAGTGTTTTAGTATGGAGAGGGCTATTACTTAGCAGTCACAGTTTTTTCGTAGGTCAAGGATCTTTTGAGTTCTCATAGTTAATTATGTTCTTTTATTAATGATGTTGAAATACTATAGAATAAAAATACTTTTTGTTTTACATAAATCGATAGAGTATTAAGGTATTATGTGAAAAAGTTAATAATTTGTGACATGTTTTAGTGCAAATGTCTAACTTGGTTAGCACCTTTTACCCATTACGTGTGATCCGCGAGACAAGAAGCAATCAAATTACCACCAATATTCATTGCACCAATAAAAACATTATTAAAACAGTATTATATATATTTCGATTTCTGTGATGAGATATGCGTGTTAAATGCGACACCGTATGTGTTCCGGCCTGCTGGTGTGGCTTCCGTGCAGATAACGGTAGCGCGGGAATTGAATGCCTAGTGCAACGTCTTTATGAGAGATAGCGCTAATAGGAATAAAAGTAACAAACTGGTACTTTTGTCCCGATTTAAGCTGTCAATTTTCTTTTATGCCCTCTGGTTTTTCGGGTGTGCTATTTTAATAATTAAGGGATAAGCTGCCTTTCAGAATACCAAAACTATTCGTATAAGGAATATAGACCATGGGCTGGCTTATGCAGAATTATATAATATTAGTTGCAAAAGAGGTTACAAACAAAAAAGTGTCTTCCAGACACGCCTCAAAATCGGTTAAATTATGCTACATAACATTGTTTCGACATAAAAGTCTAATTTTTCAGAAAAATATAATTGTAGAGGGTCAAGCATCAAGGGGCAATCTTCTGTTTGTTATACATCGACAAAAAGGATGTTTTCAAACGAAGAGGAAATAGTTTTGCAACATTATTTACATTTACGGTATGATAACAATAGAAATAAAAAAATTGGCTTACTGGTGGTGGCAATAAAGTATGAAAAATCTATTCTTGACTTCTGGCAAAAAATGAATATTAATACTACATAGGTACATGTTTGCATTTTTAGAAAGTTTAAAAGTTTATGTTACTTTTATAGACTAAATAAAAATATTATTTAAAAGCATTTTTCCTTTTAGTTATTTTTTTTTCCATTTAGATGCGATCATTCCTGGGGGTCGGGACAAAAATAACAAATGAGTGATTTTAAGGAAAGTCTGATTTCAAGAAACTGGTACAATATATTCTAATTTTCAAAGTTTGATTATGTTGTTAAATAATCAAGGTTTCTCGTCGTATGAGAATTTTTTAAATATTCTACTGTGTTCAAAAGTTACAGACTCCAAAAGAAAAATTGTTACGTTTGTCCCTGGTCTCCCCTATAAGCGATCACGTGTTTCATATTCGAGTGATGCAACAAACATGTATTTCTAGTACTGTACGTATGTTTCGTTGCTATCCGGGAATCATTCTATTTCTTCGTCTTCAAACCTAGAGAGTTTATGATCTTCCCTTTATTTGCCTCTCCATACGTTGATCTCTTTAGATAGATTCCGTGATGAATGTCGTAACGAAACATCAGGTCGAAGTAGTGCTTATTTTTCGAGATTGAACAGTTTATTAACATTGAGAGATAAACGATAACAATATTATTGATTGACGCCTGTGGATCAAACCAATAACGATAATACGTTTATCGGGACGCATGTTTGTATAAAGTATAAAATAAGCTGAGCTAATCTAACTTAATCTGAGTTTGTTGGTTTTTAGATAGACGGGGCAATATTCGATTTTAATAACTCAGAAGGCAATAGACGAACACTAAGCGAATGGTGTGAAGGTATAACATCGGTCTACAAGAAGTAATTAGTCTTTACTCCCTTGTGGAATTTGTGGTGCTTCTTGTAGGTTTGAATGTGCTATTACCTACATAGCCTACG